TTCCCTGTGTCAAGCCAAATTCAGCTACGTTGCTACCAATGGTGAGCATGATACGGTCATTAGTAGGCGAATTAGACATGACAATGCGGAAAGGACTGCCCCGGGTGATGATGTATGTGAAAACCCCTTGGCCATTAACAGCCATGTGTTTGCACCATGTAGGATTTTTTTCTGATTATTGCATTCATGTCGTTGCTTCTGGGCATTACGGGTTCTGTAATTTAGATAGTACTGGCGTACAACTATGTCAATGTGATATGTACATGATTTGCAGCGCAATTTTGCGTACAACAAATGTTATAAATTGTCCACAAACCACTAACACCACTTTAAGGGCACACAAATGAGTACCACAGGAAATTTAACAATCAATGTAACTGCGTGTTAGCATCGTTTCCAACTGGGGCGCATTTTTCTACGAGGAAAAGACGAGTCTACAAAAGTAAACCGGAATTCATTAAGACTGCTCTTATTTTCGCTGCAAGTTTCCATTCATGTGTCCATTTAGGTGATACATAATGCTCACAAAGTTTGTAATGCTGTAGTGGTTTTGATATACTCCATGACAACAGTAACAAATAAACATGTCTTGCAGTGGGCGTTGATACAATGCGAGTTTGCGAGTTACAATGTGTGTTGACACTGACAATCACTTTGTTGAATGGTCAAAGGGGAAAAACCAATTACGCCAATGCCAAACTTTTTAAACATTAATTTTAGGTTTGTCAATATTTTTCTGAAGTGCGCTAGTTAAACATGACAGAAATCAACTCGGAATTATATTCGATGTCGTTGGATATTAAAAAATGAATATTGGTTAAATAAAGAATAAATCGATTCTTAATAAGCACGACTTCTCAATTTCATTGTCGGTAAATTTGTGGCAACAAATACATTTTCTTACATGTGTGCACATTAAGCTGTGACAAGTCATGTAGAAATACTGACAAACAATCTTTAACATTTCGGCGACCTACTCCGTTAGTTAACAGTTCGATCAAAATACCACAAAGCTGATGCATTCTCAGTTAAAAAGGTTCGCCATCAAAGTAAAATAAAGAGTGTCTAGTCCAGGCACAGGTTGGTTAATTCGTTAGCAAAGGGGATGTTTTTCATCTAGATCAAACCAAACCCAATCGATGTGCGATTTACGGCAAACCAAACTGATTTTACTGGTAACCTAATCCTCAAGGGAATGAGATACCATCAATGTGTATGATACTGTGTTAATACAATACCTTAAAATCATTGTGAATGTTGAGTATTTACAGTACAAACGTGGGAGGTTCTATCAATACCTCCGACTATCTCACCTGCAGAATACCGACTTTCCACATATGTTATGAAAGTGAATGCCCTGATTCCGATATTGTAATATTCCGCCTATATATATCTACACGTCTTATCACATCATCATAATATCGATGTAACCAGAAGTCTCTAGTTATAATGTGCTTGTATATACAAGTACATATTTGTAAAATAACTTTATTCAGTTTCTGAAAAAAGATACTGTATAATGTGTATTTGAAGGTGAATTCAGTTACAAATTAATTTTGATAGTGATTGAATTAACTTACATTAATACAAGCAAACATGTCTATTTTGGTCTCAACTGGAGATACTAAGATGGGTTTAGATATGGTATGAAGCAGATGGACTGATCATCATATAATTGTCTCATTGTCTAAAATATTTCCATTGTCATACTGCCCATTCTGTCAGCTTAAATGTCATTTACATTCAGACGTTATATGGTTATATTTATATTCATATATTACATATATAATAAACATTATTTATTTTACAACAATTTTAAACCTTTTACTTACTATATTTTATTTGTATTTATCAGATGGGTCATGTAGTAACATTGTATTTATCGGTTAGGTCATGTAGTACAATTGTATTTATCAGTTAGGTCATGTAGTACAATTGTATTTATCAGTTATGTCATGTAATACAATTGTATTTATCAGTTTTGTCACGTAGTACAATTGTATTTATCAGTTATGTCACGTAGTACAATTGTATTTATCACTTATGTCAAGTAGTACAATTGTATTTATCAGTTATGTCATGTAGTACAATTGTATTTATCAGTTATGTCATGTAGTACAATTGTATTTATCAGTTAGGTCATGTAGAGCAACTGTATTTTTCAGTTAGGTCATGTAGTACAAATGTATTTATCAGTTATGTCATGTAGTACAATCGTATTTATCAGTTAGGTCATGTAGTACAATTGTATTTATCAGTTATGTCATGTAATAGTCTTATATATTGTAAGAGAGTTCTGCCGCAAGCTTCAAACAATGTTCAATGCATGACTGACCGACGTTAGCAGAAAGACCAACATTGGTCTCAGAAAATTATTCACGTGCAAGAGAGGAAATGAGGGTTTAGCTAACCGAGAACTATCGAATTGGGGCATGTGACAACTAATTGACGTGAGTAGGAACCATCTCACCATATCTGAAAAGCAGGTGAGCATGGCAGAGGCGCACCTGATATCTGACCATTGGTCAGCCTCCATACTAAATCCAAATATGTCAAACAAAGTAATGTCATAACGCTCTGTCAGTTGGCGCACCCCTTCAGTTAGAAGCTAACTACATAGATATTTGTACTCTTTTGAATATTAGAGCTCTCAATACATTCAATGATATAATGTAACATGATTGTATACATTGTTTAATGTTAAATGTAATTGTATACCTACTACCTCAGAATGTTTTGAATATCAATTGTTTACGTTACGATTGTTAACTAATAACTAATTTTTATCTAAAATTTGATAATCTTAATTACTGTCTCGTTGTAAATGATTTGATGTTCATTGTGAATATTGTATTTTATTTGTATTTGATAAAAAGTTAGAAGCTGACTACAGAACTGTTTGTACTCTTTCGAAGAAGCCAATCAATTCATGGAAAACCTATCTAAAAACTGAGTCATCACCTAGTGATAATATACACGTGCGATTGTGCTATCTAATTTGTCCGCCAATTTCTGAATATGTTTTAATATTGTTAGGTTTTTTCTTTTCTTTCTTTGAAATGTTAACAGTAATATGCTAACAGAATAATATTTATTCTAGTGTATACAAGATTATGTACATGACTACTATTTCTGTGCTTGCCAGATCGTAAAATACAAAATAATAATGGAATAGTTAACTGATTGATATCTCATTAAAATAATAATTTCATGGCTGGTGTTTCTAATGTTCATTAAATTCACACACTAATTGTTTAAGCCATCGCATTTACAATATTAGTTGTAAGTTTTCTGTGTGAACGAATGTTTCCTCTCATTCAACCTTATCTTAAGCGTTGGTAGAAAACAAATCTGCATTTTCTCCGCCATATTCCTCTGAATGCTGATGTTGGTAAGCTTAGATATTTTTTTTATAAGTTTTTGTATAGATAGATTAGAAATCCCAGGTACTGGCTTTGTTGCTCGACGTTTAACAATCTCGTGTCGGTTGTTACTACATTTTCGTTTTTGTTTTTTTCTTTTTTTAGTGAGCGTGTTTTTTTTCTCCATCTGTGTGGCCAGCAACGGGATGTTCGTTTCGTTCTTGCCATTGTCAACAATTTTTATCACAAAAGTTTGTCCCTCTTCTGTCTCTGGCGACCCCTTTGTTCTTTTTGCATGGTCTAGTATTTCATCTTATTCGTTATGATAAAATGCCAGTAAATCAAATTCCTTAATGATTATCCTTTACTTCTCGACTTTACAGATGAACCAGCTGTACGTGTAAAGATAAGATAAAGACTGAAGGACAAGAATGAAATGAAATCAACGAAATCTATCACTCCGTGCTCTCGGCGTAGAAAGAAACACAATGAATAACCACACACCTTTTATATGATATATCTATATATATATATAAACTATATATATATATATATATACATAACTTTAGACTATGATATATGTATCGCTAGTGATTAACGAAAGTGGAAAGAGCGCTTCCTTTTGATAAAAGTATTTTCCGATTTTCCACTTAAAAACGGATGTTGTAAAATGTTACTGTCTTTATGTTACGTCTTTATATGATATATAAAAAGGAAAACTCAAAATACTCTACGATGAAATCACTTTGATCATTCGGAATATCAATTTTGGTTGTTGTTTTTTTTATATGTTTTAAAAAGTATATTCTGAATTCGTTTAAAATATGGAACAAAATCACTCAATAATCTAGATTTCTGGGATAATGAATTTCTTTTATTATACATAGTTGAATACTAAGTGTAGACCAGATTAGTTTGCAGAGGAACTAAGGAGATACTCATTTTGGGTAAAGAGTTTATAGAAAACATACACTTGATTTCTCTGTTAGTGAAGATTTATTTTTAATACATTTAACACTGTGTTACACTCAATATAGACACACGTGCGTTTGGCCACTTATGATGTGAACGTACGCATATGACCAACAGCCAGTAAACAATGACAGACGTAAGTGTACTGGACTAGTATCCTGACTATCAGTAAATGGATTGGAAAAACGTAATAACCATATACAGTTTTATCCCAAGTACTCTTCCCTTTCCCCATGAAAGGTTTCACATCTTGTCGTAAGTGAAGTACAGCACGTGAAGACAAACTCGTGGATATAAGACTTAATATACAATTCATTAAGCAAAATAGTTAGTGTTATTAAATGCAAATACATGTTGATAAATCATTAGACCACCACATGACACTAATTACAAGTTACTGTAAAATTAGCTCCGGATACCGACAAAATAGTGAAATCTTTCAGTCAATATATTTCCTTTGCAGTACATCTATATACTATACTACTGTAGATAAAATAACCAACCATCGAATGATTCTCAGGAGCCATCTGACCACGGAATGACTTTCAAGATGGTACCTCGCTTCGGCGTTATTTCTCTCTCTCTCTCTCTCTCTCTCTCTCTCTCTCTCTCTCTCTCTCTCTCTCTCTCTCTCTCTCTCTCTCTCTCTCTCTCTCTCTCAAGTGTCCTTGATGCTTTCGATATACTGCATAAATTGAAAGATATCTAAATGTGTATTGTTTTCATATTTAAAAATTAGCGTTTTCACTGAACCATGCCATAGAATATACATACCTAAGTCATCTATATGGGTCACCTGTACAGTTATCAGCTGGTAACGGCTGTAACAACTGCCACGCCCCTAAAACTTTGCAGCATACACAGAGAATATATGTTTTATCGCAAAACAAGATAGTTTATGCAAATATAAAAATTGATAAGAATATTGATATATGTACCATTATGCACACTATGAGGCCCCGCCCCTCTGGCCCAGGTGGGTCAGACAGGGCGTTTATACAAAACTGATTTGCCTACACCCAAGCATTTTAATACCATATTTGGACAATATTCTTCAATTCCTGAAGAACAAGATATCTTTTAAAGAAATTGATCTATTTTCTGCATTGGACCCTGCCACTCCCGCCCAGGAGGCCGAAATTGAACGTTAATACAAAACCGATTTTATTTTCTATTAGATAATTTGAATTTGAACAATTGATGTTTAAAATGTCGAAACTAAACGTCAGGGAAACGGTGGCCAGTCAATAAACATTAAAAGATTTGCTTCAAATAGGTTTGCAATTGACACTGGAAAAACACGTCTTCGATTCGAAAAAAAAAAATCTTGAAATAAGTATCATTCAAACGATATGATATCAATATTATGTGATATAGAAGAGCATAAAAGATTGATAAGCACAATCAAGCAATGCTCATTATCATTTTCTTCTCTTCAGATTAGAGTGATAGTCATGTTGTCATGTTTCAGCAGAAGGATGCAGTTCGTCTACATCGGCTATTGCGGTGGGTTGATTGGGGTGAATCCATGTCGGTATTCTGCCAACACCTTGTCTCGCATCTCTCTAAATGTGAAATCCGAGTTAGGTATAAACTCTTCAATGGTACTGTTCTCACTGACGTAGTCGAAGTATGGCCAGTGAGTTGTGTCCCCTGCGTCGTAGTTATAACATTGGATGGTGGCGCAGAAGTCATCAGTGTCGTTCCAGAGCTTGTGTGTTTGGAACCAGTTCCTATTGATCCATGTTACATTTCCTTTGACAGCATTAAACTTCCTCAAAGGAACTGCATTTGGGTCTGTTGTCTGTTTGTTGTAAATGGAAATGTTGATTTGACCAAACAGGACTTTGATAACAGCGTTCGAGTTTCCATGGTTATGTATAGGACTGTAGTGTTTTGAAGGCCAAATCTCAAGGACGTAAGGTATTCCAGGCGAGTTCCCAAGACTGTGCCCAAGTGTCACGCGCAGGTAGGTCTCATTTGCCCCACTGTCTGGACCGAACTCGCCGGATTTAGATTTTAGTTTTTCGTAAAGGAGGCATCCTTTGGTTTCAATGCTGAAGCGTATAGCATCTGAGAGAAGAACTTCGTCCACTTCCGGTGGCCAGTTTAGCTCACAGTTTCCTATGTTATCATACAGCTCCTTGCAGGCAGGTGGAAGACTTCCTGATCAAAGAGAATTGATGAAATCTATTTATTTGATTTGTGGGTAGTATTATTTTAAAACCTGCCAGGTTTGCAGTGGTGCACTGTTATTAACTTTGTGCTCATATGAAAACGTGACATTACTTGCTTCGATCCATCGTTATTAAAGTAGTATCTTCGATGAAGTAAAAGACTCATATCCTTTCGAAACGCTTGTTCCTTTTCAGTAATCTCCCTGTTTATCTTACTTTGTTCATCTTTTGACATAATTTCAACGACTATGTGTTTTAATCAAGTTTCTGTGTCTATATTTTTTACGTTGTTTGAACACTTTTTATCATCAATAATGTTTTACTAATATCACATATCAAAGGTTTGAGAAATACAGGTAACAGAGATTATGTGCAGATGGCCGTTACTACGATCTATGAATTCCTTCTACAATACGAATCTAATGTTTTTCGACGCTCGTAAGTATGCCTTGTGGTTTTGTTTTCTGTAAACCCGGTTCCCATTTGAGAACATGACATTATTTACGTGAATTGTATACATAAAATACATTAACAGATACCCTGTAGCCTAAACAACAATATCAATTGAAATAACAAAAGGTTACCTACCTGTAAGCATGTAATTAGCATTGTCCAGTGTAAAGAGAGTCACTTTGGAGCTGTCTAGGACGATAGGGGATAGGTTGCTGATAAAAGGGTTCTTATAGAATGCAACTTTTTTCTCAATGTCTATCACTGAAAATTAAAACTGATTGAAATCATCTGTACTTTAAACAAATTTAATTTCACATCACATCACAACAATATGTAGAAGAAGACATATTTGAAAAAAAATATGTGTTTCTTATTCTTTTCAAATCTTGAAACTTGGCAATTTTAATGGTGGCCGGTCGTTTTGGGTCATATACCATATACTTTCCGTGCTTTTTTGCTATGTCTTTCAGTGATTTTGGGTTATGCGCTCCATTAATCTGTGAGTAAACAATAATTGTAATCAACTCGATACTTACTACTTGAAGAGGTTGAAGAACCTCGCAACTGATCGCTGTCATACAGACGCACCAGACCTTGACCTTCTGCGTTAAAAAGACCATGATATTTTTCTCTAATCTGCTCTGCTTCTTCTGGGGTTTTGTCTTTAAGAAAATCGTACTCCAGCAAAGTAGTTTCTTCCATAGTGTAGCCTTTACCGTATTTCAAAACGAGGCTATCTCGGTTATAGCTGAACCAATAGGAAATCTTCTGACCAGCGTCGTAACCACAGTCAGGTTGGTCTGACCGATGAAGAGTTTCATATGTGCTTTCATGTGTCAAGCCAAATTCAGCGAAGTTGCTACCAATGGTGAGCATGATAGTGTCATTAGTAGGCGAATTAGAGATGACAATACGGAAAGGACTGCTCCGGATGATGTTGAATGTGAAAACCCCTTGTCCATTGACAGGCATGGGTTTGCACCACGTAGGATATTCACTGAAAGTTAAAGCCATCCCCGTTGCTTCTGTACGTTCCGAGTTCTGTAACAGAAGTAGTATTGACATAGAAATTATACAATAAATAAGGAATTAAACTCTACTTCTAGGATCCTTCTTTAATGCGTGAAGTCGGGCGATGTAGACGAACTAGGAATGTCCAAGGTTAACAAGAACCTCATGATTCAACGATAACAGATGAAAAGTAAGATAATGATCTTTGTGTTATATTTTAAGTAATTCTATACGTGAACGTTTTAGAAAGCCTAAATCAGAATTCAAAATTGTTCTTTGTTTGATTTTGTGATCGATGAAATGATACAATTATTAAGATAGCAGGGCAAACGTTCTCGAGGTATGCTGAAACCTAGCTTGTCACGTTTCAAACCATAAAAAATTGCATGTACTCGATATTCTTTTAAATCGTTCAAATTGAATACTGAATTTTTCCATTATGGGGTAAATGGAGGTTCTAATTTATCGGTTGTATTTGCCTCCAGGATTTCTATACTTAAGTTTCGTTGAGAAGTCCTAGAAGGATGAAACGGCTGTATGAAAGTTAATTCATTATTTGGCTCTACTATATGCAATTTTAGATATGTATAGAAAAATAATGTTAATGTTAATTTTGCACAATTCCACTCTTCTCGTTGGTTTGTGCCTTTGGAAAATAATTGGCATTCTCATTGGAAAGCTAATTAAGTGATTACATATATTCATGGAACATCACCGCTAACAAAGCAGTGATGAAACCTTCGAGATGTTGCAAATGTGAAATAAGATATCTTCATTGTTTCAATTTTCGCGGTTTTTCGAAATAATACATTTTTTATAAATATAGTTCAATACTAAGCAATTCGTTGACATGACCCATTGAGTAAGATTACCCAAAAATTGAATGGACAAAAATACAAAAATGAACTATTTCACAGTACGTTATCCCTGGTGTTTTACCTAACACACCATTTATTAACTTTTCTGTCTATATAAGATTCAAATATTTTGTTAATTCGTCAGGAATGAAAGTACTTTTAAGTGGCACTATAGATAATATTGTAATAAATTGTTCATTGATCTCTTCCCAACAGTAATTCAAATTACATTTATTTTTATCAGTAGCGTGACGCTGAATGTACATTGCAAAATTAATGGTGTCTACATCTACTACTGTAACAACCTATTATCGAATCTTCCCAACAATAAAGAAAATTGCCTTATCTTATATTTCATTCTAAAGTATTTCAGTACATTTTATTAACCTATTGTAAATATATTTTTAAAGCAGTTTTCGATTTTTTTACATACAAAACTAACATGTGTATTATATATCTGTTATGATTAGAACTAAAGTTAAAAGCCCTTAACAGAAACTTACCTTTCAAATCAACTCACCGTGCATGAACGATGGTTGATGAAGACTTGCCCCTATTTATACAAAATATGTAACCTTGATTTACGACATATACTTGCACACGTATTTTGAACCGGATCTAGAATGACACGGTGTCCATGGTTTAACTGTAAGGTGTCTGTTATTCGTACAGTTATCTCGATTCTGCGGTATAATATCCCGGATAGGTAGTGATTACTAGGTCAACAGTAAGATGACTACAACCGGATCGTAGTCATTCATCGATGAACAATGAACACTGTATGTAAGTTTGGCAGGTGGTAATTTGTTCAATTTTTCTATCTACACGTGCATACAACATCATCCATTTTATTAACATTCACACCAGATTTCTAATACGAAAAAATCCTATCGCTTTCTCTACAGCATTGATTTTAGATCACAACAAATTACAAACATATCTGTATATTTATCGCAAAGAACAATACATGAACAATGATAACACTCATACGGGAGTAGCAAAATACTTTCTTCTGATTGGTTTTTTGTCGTATATGTGACGTCACTAAAACACTATGAGTGAGACATAAGTGAGCGATAGAGAGAATTATGGCCACAGAAACATGTATCTAACCCTTAATTACTTAAAATATATAGTTAGGTTACCTCATCCAACGGGATCATTGTGTTCGTGTTTCAATTATAAATGAGATCTACGAAAGATGTTTATATATATATATATATATATATATTCATGTAATCGTGTCTGACGAAGTACAAAGAAATATTCGTGATTAGTTAATTTGCCTTTATCCAATTAATAACCTTCAAAATGTCAAGAGATCGGTGTAATATTTACATTTACTAGTATATAGAGGTTACACAATGAGTGGTCATTGTACATCGAATTTATTCAACTCGAATTAGTTATTTTTCAAAAGTTACAAAATAACATGAGCTTTAGCGAGTGTTTTTGTAGCTTTTGAAAAATAATAACGAGAGTTGAATAAATTCAATATACAATAACCACGAGTATGTGTGACCTGTTTCTACAACAATACAAAATATTGGCCGGGGCGATCAAATTGACATGTTTTCTCACGGTTGTTTTGTTTACGATTTCGCTTGCTGCGCAAGAATATGACCCGTAGTGAGTGTTGCTAATTAATATGCAAAAATGACAAGTCACAAAAATGTATTCAACTAATATAACTTATTATAATAATAACGAAAATATTAGGTTTGTAATAATAAATAGGTGTATGTATAAAATGTTCTTTATCACAAATTTTATCTTTGCGACTTATTTTGTTTAAGTCAAGTGATGTGTTTAGAGTTTATACCACGTGTGTTATTCAACAGTTGCATTGATTATCCAATGCCCTGGGAGTTGAATAACACGGGGTATTGTGGTAGAAACAACATTTATATTGTTGTTACTAGAGACAACCTCAGTTTGTAGTCATGACAATATCTTTCCGGCCATGGCAATTCATGGGCTGATCACGCACAACTAACTTTGGTAAGCATACAGATATGTCAAGCAATGATCAATTTAAAGCTATGGCGTTACAATAAGCCTTCCGCTAGATGTTATTTCAATATAATTTCGTGTTTACAGACAGAATATCATTTGCATCAACAAACGCTTAGGTCAGTCAAGTGCGTCATCTTTAACGGTTAACATTATACAATTTCTGGGGGTTATTATAAGACACAGCATTTAAGATGCCCCATAAACCGTGGCAAATTGGCTTTTTTACATGCTATACGACTTGCTCAAGCTATGGTCGTCTAGCATGTTGGTAAACAGATAAAGCTGCCTTCTCATTAGTCGAAAGTACATCGCGTCATGGACGTTCCATGTTACTAAGTTTAGACTAGATATCAATTTGCGATGTTAACCTATCGTGCAGGAATTCACTGGTGTCAGGTTACCATGAAATTCTGTCGAAACCAGAGGGAGACCTCAGAGCCAATCAGAAGAGAGCGATTTTCTCTGTCATTTAACAAAATATAACCTAACACTTGTAGATAGACTGTTTCTATCGATAAAACAGATACTTGAAAAACAGGATGTTGCTCGAATACGTAACTCAAGGACAAAGGACTAGATCCTGTTGACAGAAGATTTGTAATCACATACTCGCCTGCTATTCAGTGAATTCGCCCATGTAATATCATTTAAATTTGTGATTTGTGTTTTATAACATGGACCGCTTTTTCAGTGACAGCTCCAGTCAGAAATCGATTCTGATAATATGTCATAATATGGTCACTGGTGTTACGCCAATAACATTTCTGACTGAAGTAATAAAAACATATATATATATATGAGAATTCATTTTGAAGGGATTTAAGGTTATTTGTCTCGAAGACTCGTTTTTCCTCACAAAATTAGGACTAAGACTCGTGATGTGCTAACCAAATGATATGTTACAAACATTATAATAGCAATAACATCAGATCGTATTCAATCTCCTGTACATTACGTTTAATTATATATACATCTACATTTGTATCTCTGTTGTCAGGTTATTATATGTAAATAGTCGTATTACACATTTTTGAAATTATACAGAACAAAATAATTATTATGTAGCAACTCAACAATGAGAATGAAAAATATTCTGTCCTATAAATTTTAATGGTTATTACAAATTTAGAAATATCTGTAGAAAATGTGCGGACATTATATTCAAAGAGAAGAAAATGTTATTCCCACATCAAACCTATATAAACCTACGTCATACATCTTTATCAGTGATATATTGGATCTCGTTACGAAGCGCTTATTACAGATATTGGACAGAGAGGACTCTCATTATGTAAACAGCTACTTCATTGGCAAGTTCTTTCAGGACTTTTGGTTTGATGTCATCTGGTCCTACAGCCTTATAAGGATTTAATCCTATAATTAGTTTTACTCTACCATTTAGATTAATCTCAATATCAGGCTTAGTTGGAAATTGATGGTCAGGAGGCATGATACATCTGGAAATAAACTGTTGATCATTGAAAGTTTCAGGTAGGGTAAATAATGCAGTTCGTTAATTCGTAAATTTTCAATATCGGATATTTTTCAAAAAACGACAAGTACAACACACAAATGTAACAGTGTGATATTTGTATACAATTGTATTTATCAGATGGGTCATGTAATAGTCTTATATATTGTAAGAGAGTTCTGCCTCAAACAATGCTCAGTGCCTGACTGACCAACGTCAGCAGGGCAGGCCAACATTGGTCTTTGATAACATTCACGTGCAAGGAAGGAAATGAGGGTAAGCTAACCGCGAACTCTCGAATTGGGGCATGTGACAACTAATTGACGTGAGTAGGAACCATCTCACCATATCTGAAAAGCAGGTGAGCATGGCAGAGGCGCACCTGATATCTGATCATTGGTAAGCCTCCATACTTAATCCAAATATGTCAAACAAAGTGATGCCATAATGCTCTGTCAGTTGGCCCGTCCCTTCAGTTAGAAGCTGACTACATAGATGTTTGTACTCTTTTGAATATTAGAGCTCTCAATAATTCAATGATGAAATATAACATGATTGTAATAATGTTGAATGTTAAAAGTAATTGTATATCTACTACCTCAGAATGTTTTGAATATCAATTGTTTAAGTTACGATTGTTAACTAATAACTAATTTTTATCTAAAATTTGATAATCTTAATTACTGTCTCGTTGTAAATGATTTGATGTTCATTGTGAATATTGTATTTTATTTGTATTTGATAAAAAGTCAGAAGCTGACTACAGAACTGTTTGTACTCTTTCGAAGAAGCCAATCAATTCATGGAAAACCTATCTAAAAACTGAGTCATCACCTAGTGATAATATACACGTGCGATTGTGCTATCTAATTTGTCCGCCAATTTTTGAATATGTTTTAATATTGTTAGGTTTTTTCTTTTCTTTCTTTGAAATGTTAACAGTAATATGCTAACAGAATAATATTTATTCTGGTGTATACAAGATTATGTACATGACTACTATTTCTGTGCTTGCCAGATCGTAAAATACAAAATAATAATGGAATAGTTCACTGATTGATATCTCATTAAAATAATAATTTCATGGCTGGTGTTTCTAATGTTCATTAAATTCACACACTAATTGTTTAAGCCATCGCATTTGTGTGTTGTGTTTTGTGTGTGTGTGTGTGTGTGTGTGTGCGTGTGAAAACAAATCTGCATTTTCTCCGCCATATTCCTCTGAATGCTGATGTTGGTAAGCTTAGATATTTTTTTATAAGTTTTTGTATAGATAGATTAGAAATCCCAGGTACTGGCTTTGTTGCTCGACGTTTAACAATCTCGTGTCGGTTGTTACTACATTTTCGTTTTTGTTTTTTTTTCTTTTTTTAGTGAGCGTGTTTTTTTTTCTCCATCTGTGTGGCCAGCAACGGGATGTTCGTTTCGTTCTTGCCATTGTCAACAATTTTTATCACAAAAGTTTGTCCCACTTCTGTCTCTGGCGACCCCTTTGTTCTTTTTGCATGGTCTAGTATTTCATCTTATTCGTTATGATAAAATGCCAGTAAATCAAATTCCTTAATGATTATCCTTTACTTCTCGACTTTACAGATGAACCACCTGTACGTGTAACGATAAGATAAAGACTGAAGGACAAGAATGAAATGAAATCAACGAAATCTCTCTCTCTCTATATATATATTTATATTTATGATATATGTATCGCTAGTGATTAACGAAAGTGGAAAGAGCACTTCCTTTTCATAAAAGTATTTTCCGATTCTCCACTTCAAAACGAATGTTGTAAAATGTTTATGTCTTTATGTGAAGTCTTTATATGATATATAAAAAAGAAAAAAAAATAATAAAAAAAAACCCACACTCTGTTAGTGAAGATTTATTTTTAATAGATTTAACACTGTGTTACACTCAATACAGACACACGTGCGTTTGGCCACTTATGATGTGAACGTACGCGTATGACCAACAGCCAGTAAACAATGACAGATGTAAGTGTACTGGACTAGTATCCTGAATATCAGTAAATGGATTGAAAAAAACGTAATAACCATAAACAGTTTTATCCCAAGTACTCTTGCCTTTCCCCATGAAAGGTTTCACATCTTGTTGTAAGTGAAGTACAGCACGTGAAGACAAACTCGAGGGTATAAGATTTAATATATAAAAATCTTTCAGTCACTATATTTCCTTTGCAGTACGTATACATACTACTGTAGATAAAATAGCAAACCAGCATTTTCCCACGTTTCTGTTAATTATGCATAAAATCCTGTTTTATCACCGATTACGCAATCGGAAACCATCGAATGATTCTCAGGAGCCATCTGACCTCGGAATGACTTTCAAGATGGTACCTCGCTTCGGCGTTATTCCTCTCTCTCTCTCTCTCTCTCTCTCTCTCTCTCTCTCTCTCTCTCTCTCTCTCTCTCTCTCTCTCTCTCTAAGTGTCCTTGATGCTTTCGATATAATGCATAAATTGAAAGATATCTAAATGTGTATTGTTTTCATATTTAAAAAATTAGCATTTCTACTGAACCATGCCAAAAAATATACATATCTAAGTCATCTATATGGATCAACTGTACAGTTATCAGCTGGTAACGGCAGCGTCCGTAACAACTGCCACGCTCCTAAAAACTTTGTAGGATACACAGAGAATATATGTTTTATCGCAAAACAAGATAGTTTATGCAAATACAAATATTGATAAGAATATTGATAAATGTACCATTATGCACACTATGAGGCCCCGCCCCTCTGGCCCAGGTGGGTCAGACAGGGCGTTTATACAAAACTGATTTGCCTACACCCAAGCAGTTTAATACCATATTTGGACAATATTCTTTAATTCCTGAAGAACAAGATATCTTTTAAAGAAATTGAACGTTAATACAAAACCGATTTTATTTTCTATTAGATAATTTGAATTTGAACAATTTAACTGTGAATAATTATGTTTTCAATTGATGTTTAAAATGCCGAAACTAAACGTCAGGGAAACGGTGGCCAGTCAACAAGCATTAAAGGATTTGCTTCATATAGGTTTGCAATTGACACTGGAAAAACACGTCTTCGATTCGAAAAAAAATATCTTGAAATAAGTATCATTCAAACGATATGATATCAATATTATGTGATATAGAAGAGCATAAAAGATTGATAAACACAGTCAAGCAATGCTCATTATCATTTTCTTCTCTTCAGATTAGAGTGATAGTCATGTTGTCATGTTTCAACAGAAGGATGCAGTTCGTCTACATCGGCTATTGCGGTGGGTTGATTGGGGTGAATCCATGTCGGTATTCTGCCAACACCTTGTCTCGCATCTCTCTAAATGTGAAATCCGAGTTAGGTATAAACTCTTCAATGGTACTGTTCTCACTGACGTAGTCGAAGTATGGCCAGTGAGTTGTGTCCCCTGCGTCGTAGTTATAACATTGGATGGTGGCGCAGAAGTCATCAGTGTCGTTCCAGAGCTTGTGTGTTTGGAACCAGTTCCTATTGATCCATGTTACATTTCCTTTGACAGCATTAAACTTCCTCAAAGGAACTGCATTTGGGTCTGTTGTCTGTTTGTTGTAAATGGAAATGTTGATTTGACCAAACAGGACTTTGATAACAGCGTTCGAGTTTCCATGGTTATGTATAGGACTGTAGTGGTTTGAAGGCCAAATCTCAAGGACGTAAGGTATTCCAGGCGAGTTCCCAAGACTGTGCCCAAGTGTCACGCGCAGGTAAGTCTCATTTGCCCCACTGTCTGGACCGAACTCGCCGGATTTAGATTTTAGTGTTTCGTAAAGGAGGCATCCTTCGGTTTCAATGCTGAAGCGTATAGCATCTGAGAGAAGAACTTCGTCCACTTCCGGTGGCCAGTTTAGCTCACAGTTTCCTATGTTATCATACAGCTCCTTGCAGGCAGGTGGAAGACTTCCTGATCAAAGAGAATTGATGAAAGTCAGCAAATCTATTTCTTTGATTTGTGGGTAGTATTATGATCAAAGAGAATTTATATTATTTTAAAACCTGCCAGGTTTGCAGTGGTGCACGGTTATTAACTTTGTGCTCATATGAAAACGTGACATTACTTGCTTCGATTCATCGTTATTAAAGTAGTATCTTCGGTGAAGTAAAAGACTCATATCCTTTCGAAACGCTTGTTCCTGTTCAGTAATCTCCCTGTTTATCTTACTTTGTTCATCTTTTGACATAATTTCAACGACTATGTGTTTTAATCAAGTTTCTGTGTCTATATTTTCTACGTTGTTTGAACACTTTTTATTTTCAATAATGTTTTACTAATATCACATATCAAAGGTTTGAGAAATACAGGTAATAGAGATTATATGCAGATGGCCGTTACTACGATCTATGAATTCCTTCTACAATACGAATCTAATGTTTTTCGACGCTCGTAAGTATGCCTTGTGGTTTTTTCTGTAAACCCGGTTCCCATTTGAGAACATGACATTATTTACATGAATTGTACACATAAAATACATTAACAGATACCCTATAGCCTAAACAACAATATCAATTGAAATAACAAAAGTTACCTACCTGTAAGCATGTAATTAGCATTGTCCAGTGTAAAGAGAGTCACTTTGGAGCTGTCCATGACGATAGGGGATAGGTTGCTGACAAAAGGGTTCTTATAGAATGCAACTTTTTTCTCTATGTCTATCACTGAAAATTAAAACTGATTGAAATCATCTGTACTTTAAACTAATTTAATTTCACATTACATCACAACAATATGTAGAAGAAGACATATTTGAAAAAAAATATGTGTTTCTTATTCTTTTCAAATCTTGAAACTTGGCAATTTTAATGGTGACCGGTCGTTTTGGGTCATATACCATATACTTTCCGTGCTTTTTTGCTATGTCTTTCAGTGATTTTGGGTTATGCACTTCATCAATCTGTGAGTAAACATTAATTGTAAACAACTCGATACTTACTACTTGAAGAGTTTGAAGAACCTCGCAACTGATCGCTGTCATACAGACGCACCAGACCTTGACCTTCTGCGTTAAAAAGACCATGATATTTTTCTCTAATCTGCTCTGCTTCTTCTGGGGTTTTGTCTTTAAGAAAATCGTACTCCAGCAAAGTAGTTTCTTCCATAGTGTAGCCTTTACCGTATTTCAGAACGAGGCTATCTCGGTTATAGCTGAACCAATAGGAAATCTTCTGACCAGCGTCGTAACCACAATCAGGTTGGTCTGACCGATGAAGAGTTTCATATGTGCTTTCATGTGTCAAGCCAAATTCAGCGAAGTTGCTACCAATGGTGAGCATGATAGTGTCATTAGTAGGCGAATTAGAGATGACAATACGGAAAGGACTGCTCCGGATAATGTTGAATGTGAAAACCCCTTGTCCATTGACAGGCATGGGTTTACACCATGTAGGATCTTTACTGAAAGGTAAAGCCATCCCCGTTGCTTCTGTACGTTCCGAGTTCTGTAACAGAAGTAGTATTGACATAGAAATTATATACTGAGAGGAAAAAGAAACGCAATTAGGAATTTCCACGTCAACTACGGGAAATAGAAAAGGGTTTTAGAATGTAATTATAGTGTAACTGTCATCTACGAGAATTTCATTCGTGTACGTTAAGTAAACCTTTCAAGCTGCAGTAATTGCACGAACTCTTTTGTGCATTAAATTGATCGGGGTATTAACCCTCCTCATTGGTATACGATTCCATTCCTCATCCAACGCCAACGCCAACTGAGCGACGTTGATTGGTGGATTCGGCCTACGTCTTATTCTTCTGTCCAACTCGTCCCATAAATGTTCTATTGGGGAGAGGTCAGGGCTGTATGGGGGCCAGTCTAGGGTGGGGCAATGTTTGCTGCGAAATAACCACGGCAAACCCTCGCTACATGCTGCTGCTGTACTAGAGGAACAACATGCGGCGCTAGGACTGGATCTCTATAGCGGACGGCCGTGAGTTTTCCCTGAATAACGACCAGAGGAGTCTTGATACCATGCGCAATCCCTCCCCATACCACGAGCGATCCTCCTCCAAAGGGGTCATTCTCTATCACGCAAGCATCTGCATAGCGCTCGTGGGTACGTCTATAGACACGACGTCGGCCGTCGGCCCGGTAAAGCGAAAACCTGGACTCATCTGAGAACAGGACCCTTCTCCAACATTGCATTGGGAAACGTCTTACGGAATGTGCGTTCAGCCCTTGCATTCGTCTTGCACGTCACCGCGCATTAAGCCGTGGTCCAACATATGGCCGCCGAGGTCTTAGACCGAAGGCACGCAGTTCAGTACGCACTGTCTTTTGATCAATTGGAACATGATGACGCCCAATTGTGTTCCTTGCTGTTTCCGTGCCGTCAGAAAGCGATTGCGTAGGTGCGAAAGTCGCATTGCCCTATCCTGCCGACGCGTCGTCACACGAGGGCGACCGCTTCGGGGACGGTCTGCAACCCTTCCGGTGGCATGTAGTTTTTGTATGAGACGGCAAATGTTCGATGGAACCCCTGTCAACTTCGGACAATCGTGGCATTTTTACGGTGACCTGTTTATGCTTTAAAAGTATGAAATCAAGACGAACATGTCTGAAGATTCGCAAACACAGATTTTGAACCAATCCTTTAAATGGGTTCGAGATATCATGCTTTGGTCTCTTATTCTTTTGTGCAAGCGGCGTGCGCAGTTTAGATATGCATCAGTGATTTAATACGGTACCATAGAGACCTAACTCAGATGCACACATTTGTCAAGTTTCAAGGGTGTACGTCAAGGATTTAATTTACAATATTAATTTTCTGCTAATTGCGTTTCTTTTTCCTCTCAGTATACAATAAATAAGGAATTAAACTCTCCTTCTTTAATGCCTGAAGTCAACATGTCGGGCGATGTAGACGAATTAGGAATGTCCAATGTTGTTAACAAGAACCTCGTGATTCAATGAAACGTTTCTTTTCAACGATAACAGATGAAAAGAAAGATAATGATCTTTGTGCTGTATTTTAAAGAATTCTATACATGAACGTTTTAGAAAGCCTAAATCAGAATTTAAAGTTGTGCTTTGTTTTATTTTGTGATTGATGAAATTATACAATTATTACGATAGCAGGGCAAACGTTCTCGAGGTATGCTGAAACCTAGCTTGTCACGTTTCGAACCATAAAAGATCGCATGTACTCGACATTCTTTTAAAATCGTTCAAATTCAGAACTCAGGCTAGAAAACAATCATTTTCCCCTCGTACTATATATCTGTGTGGAATAAGATCCCACCATATATCATCTCATCCTGTCTTACCACTGAATCCTTCAAAATTTCTCTCCGCTCACTACCCTTAAAATGAAATATTCATGTACACATATTCTTTCTTTTTAGTTTTCTTTAAGGTTAATCTCCTTCTTTCTCATGACATTATCTTCAACTTGTTGAAGTTGGTCATTATCATTTAGAAAAGAAAAAAGAGAAAAAAAAACATGTGCGACCACAGCTAGGATACTGACATTTTAGGGTAGGGTGTTTGAAACTAGCAATTATATGTAAATATTCAGGTGTAAATTTCTAATCGTTAATATTTCTGATGTATAGATTGCAATTTGTCGTTTTAAATATTGCTTCATGATTAATCTTTCGGGACATTTCAAATATTCATAATTTTCACAATATCCAAGTGGATAGCGTGGGTATTAGTAAGGTTAATCTCACTTAAGCGGAAATAGTTCTCACACCTGATACCCTGCTAGTCATAAAACCGGAAGTACCTGGTTGTTATGGTTATTGGATACAGATCTACAGTGTTGGTTGTGAACTTAAATGTTAATTTAAATAAAATCAGTCAACGGTGTATAACAAACGAGGTAAACAGTGTTATCTTAGTAATTAAATTGAATAATGAACTTAATGCCATTAAGTCAAAGAGAGAAAATGAGCATCAGAGACGAATTCAAGTAAAAAACTTGCGAGAATGTCTTTCACTATTTTATTGAATGTCAACGTTTCTCGCACGAAAGACGTATTTCAGTTCAAGATTTAAATAACTGGAACGTTGCGTTAGATAAAAAATTTCTTTTGTTTGGCAATTCTCAATTTTCGTGAACCTTAATGCAAATATTTTTAGATCTGTGCAAAACTATACTAAACCCAGCAAGATATTTTGATGCCAATGTGTAACAATAATTGTATATTTGATTGTCATGATTATAATGTCATTTAAAATGTATATTGGGAGAAGGCGTTGATAAGTTGCAATAACTTGTGCCTAATCCTTTGTCAATCGTTTGGCAATAAATTTGTTTCTAATATCAATTTTAACAGAATATGTTTAAAAAAAGAGAACAGGAAAAACCGGATAGTCTGACCTCGTTCCTTTATTGGAACAAAATGAAGCAGTAAAATGGAATTTTGGCTCTCTTGATTTTACTGATTTTAATACTGAAAGTAGATCAGATCAGTCTAAAAAGATAAAACAAGTTACTTACCCTATTGACAATCTGTATTTATCTGTTGTGTGATAATCTTGGAAGCTATGATAAAAATTGGAACAGCGCGGCTTTTATAGCAGACAACTTCACGCTTCTTCTAGTTCAATGAAAAGTTTATGCAAATTAGATCCTTCTTGACATCGCTATTGGTGAAAAATCCATTTAGTTTAACAATGATGGCATGCGCAATAGCAAATACATGTATGTACACTGTGCTTCCTAAGATGTGATCTTGTGCGAACCTGTGGCCAGCAAACCATCTCAGCTATTAATAGACTGTTGTAGGCGAGTTACACTATCAGACATTGCCGTATAAAATTACGAGTGCGGGGAAATGTTTTAGCTTAGAACACGAGTCAACTAGCGTCAATTCATTTCTTTGCGATCTCAATTATGCAAGCAATACAGATGAATATATTTTTTTTTTTTCGTTCATTCACACTTCACAGAACGATAACTCTCTTGATCGACTTGTTTGTGTGCACTTCCTCTTGGTTTTTTTAACGAATTAAACACATATAAAACGCATCTCTTCAATTGGGACTTAAAGGACAAGTTTATCTCACCGAATTTTATAAATGCTACCGTTTTCATACTCATAATTATACAACTTAGACATAAAATTACTTACCACGTATGTGTAACATCTTTGTATATTATCACTTAAAACATGTTTGTTTTGGTAATAGGTAAACATATTTAAAGATTGTACCAGAGACACGAATAGATAAGATCTTTCCTTACAATTTGATAACAAACATATATATATATTTTACAATGAATTGAATCGCATATATCATGTCGCCCTTCTGTAACTCGTCGGGGTCTGAAGTGTATTCAATTACCTGAGATAAATCTTCAACTAAGGTTTTTAAATTGTAAAGTGCAATTTCATTATATTTCACACTGTTGTCTGGCTACAAATAATTCATTTACCGAGACTGATTGTCAAGTATACAGTACACAGACAGATGCATCAAAATCGACGTAAACATGTCTGTACAGACAAATACAAGTTAGAGGTCGCATGGCTTTACCTTGGCTTGTTCGATTATGTAAAATCGAATAATTAGAAGTATTCTTATCAGTTGCACAATTCTTCAAGTGTTGTAGTAATTAATACTTTAGGTGAAAACGCCTTCGTCATATCAAATTTGACGACAGCTACAATAGTTCAGGTTCCGAAGACTTTTCAAACTTGCACTAACTATTTGCAGTGTATGGCCCTGTCACACCTACATGTCATTGCGTTCATGCGACGTACTTGAAGTTCTCAAATATTGACTTGAGAGGGGAAAAACTGGGGTGCCGGTAACCCATACTGCGTCCTTGTGAAGTTCTATCCCGATCGTGAACAGTCCACAAGCAGTGCGTCCTGTCATTAACACGTTCTCTAAGCGTTCCTGTTACGTCAAACCACAAGTTCATACGACGTATTCGAAGTCGCTCCGACGTTCTCATGACGTCCCAAGAGGACCACAGGTCAGGTTATCACTGATGTGTACTAAATCCCCAGAGGACCACAGGTCGGGTCATCACTGATGTGTACTTAATCCCCAGAGGGCCACAGGTCGGGTCATCACTGATGTGTCCTAAATCCCCCGAGGACGACAGGTCGGGTGAATACTGATGTGTCCTAAATCCCCAGAGGACCACAGGTCGGGTCATTAATGATGGGTCCTGAATCCCCAGAGGACCACAGGTCGGGTGAATACTAATGTGTCCTATATCCCCAGAGAACCACAGGTCGGGTCAATTCTGATGTGCCGTAAATCCCCATAGGACAATAGATCGGGTCAATACTGGTGGATTCTAAATCCCCAGAGGACCACAGGTCGGGTCAATACTGTTGCGTTTTCAATCCCAAGAGGACCACAGGTCGGGTCATTACTGATGGGTCCTAAATCCCCAGAGGACCACAGGTCGGGTCAATAGTGATGGGTCCTCAATCCCCGAGGACCAGAGGT